ACACGTACATACAAATCGTACAAGTACCCTTTAAAGGTGGGTAAGTTTGAGAAACCGGCTCGAGATACACTTTTTGTTATATTCCATGGAATGCTCTTAACATCCTGATAGCAATGAATATCTTAAGTGCTTTGACAAAAAATCCATAAAAAAATGTCATCTGTGGAAGCCGTAGTACTGTAAAAAGTACGACCAATCATTTGAGCCGGCCCGGCTAAAATAACTGGATGGCCTACCTGCCTGTCAGCCTTCCATCTGTGCACAAACTTATCTTGTACCCTCATTGGTCATGTGCACGTTTGTGTGTGTTGGAGGAGGGGCTCTCTAAGGAAGTGGCAGATTTCTTCCGGCTGTGTATTTTCAAATTCTAGCGATCTCGAGCTGGTTTCTCCAAAATTACCTACCCTACCTTTAAGTTATGAAGTTATAAGCATTATCAAGAAAGAAAGAATACCTAAGTTGTTTGTTATTTTATTTGAGTTTTGCCTATTTCTTTTGAATATTGTAAAGGCCTATTTTCTTTGTTGCATGTGCAAAAGTTTGTTATTTTATTTTGAGCAAACACATCGCAACATCATCTAAACCATCGGAGGCCAAGCAACACTTCAAACTGTGAGTAATTTAAAGGAAAGAAACGAGTTAGAACTGTCTGTTTAAGGCGGCTAGTGGCTTGATGGAAAGACAAGGAAGGAAGCCACAACATATCCGTTAGCTTAGCTATCTAACCAGATGCAAACAACAACAATCCCCGGTACCGGTGCGCTCTCTCTCTGTGGCTCGCTCACACAAAATGCACTCGTGCCACACACACTCAGAGAGCTGAGCTTGAATGACACACAAAGACCCAGAATGACTTTTACTACTGTATCCTATTCTTTTCGATGGCTTTATTGTACGATCATATGACAGATGAAAAGATCGCCACTGGGCTTTCAACTAAAGACACAGCCACGCAAAAAACGCAGCATGTGTAAGCAGGGGTTAAATTAGGATTTGATATGTGGGGGGGCTCTGTGTGTATATGAGTAAATCTCATTGTAAACTATTTAATCATCACCAAATTCAGTGTTATTATGACCGATCATAACTCAGCTTTATGCACACACATACATTTAGCATGGATTAGGAAACGGGCTCCGTGTTACAAGACGTGTTTTTCAGGTCTCAGGCTCGAAAATGACATTCCCAGAACAAATGACTATATCTTCACTTCTAAAAGGGGTAAATTAATAATCTTTTTTCTCAAGCAATGATAAACCTGTGAGTTGGATGTAGAAAAGTCAGAATCAATATAGATGTTTTTTATTTTAAAGTAAATTCAGATTGAACATAGTAAAAAAATGTAAATTATAGTATATTTTAACTTTTATCCATGTATTTTTTCTTTTAATGTTTATTTTATTATCTTTCCTTTTTAATGACTGATTTTAAATGCCATTTTTAAAATGTCTTCCATTTTTGTAAAGCACTTTGAATTACCTTGTGTTGAAAGGTGCTATATAAATAAACTTGCCTTGCCTTGCCTTGCCTTGCCTTGCCTTGCCTATCCGTCCAAAAGAAAAACATTACTTATAGCAGGCATCCTCAAAGTCCGGACTCCGGTCCGGATCCGGACCGAGCCACAACTGTCTCTGGACTCTGAGCAAATTATACTTTTCATATGTATTATCTGTATTATCTGTGTTATCTGCGAGATATCGCCACAACGCAACGAGTCAAAATTCTCCGCTATGTCCACTGCAAACAGCGCTCTGCATGTCAGACTGTTCCACTGTCTGTGTGTGTGTCTGTCAACGCATTGGTCCAATCACATTCAGCATCCCGTCAGCGTTTTTTCCCCCCAAACAATCTGCGAATCAGAGGCACAGTAGGGCGGGTCTTCGCGGAATGCGGGTGGGAAAAATGTGTCAGAGCGAGAGTTTAAAAAAAAAAAGTCAGAGCGAGAGTTAACAGCTCATCTAGTTGCATCTGTACTGTAGCTAGTAGCCTAGTTTCACCTACCGGGGTGGCATGGGGTGGCAACTGACACCCTAAAAATAGGCCTTGCCACCCCAGTTGTTGAAAGAAAAGTTGTGGCTCATCGGACATTTATGAGAGAAAGTCTATAATGTCCGAGTGCAAGTGAATGCAGCACAAGATGCACGTCTTGTAACCCCTCCCCCGGCCCTGGCGCGAGCGTGGAAATATGATTGGCGCCGATTTCATTTGAACGGTAAGGCGCAAAACGAGAAGCATTCGGACCCAAGTACTGAAGGAATGAGGTATTTGCGGTCTACAATGACAGAGAAGAGACTGTCAAGTTTGGCTGTACTCAGCATGGTAATCGCCGCATTCAGCTGTAATAGACATGTCAACTTGATGCTCTGCTCACGGATGAGCATACACAACTGTTAAGATGATGACCTTACGTGTGTAAATATATTTTTTTCTTTGTGGGGGTCTGCCCCCAAAAAACAGTTTTAAGTCCTGAGAAAGTCAAATAAGACGGTGTGTAAAATTACACTGCCCAGCCAAAAAAAAAGTAACCACTTTGATTTAACTAGGCCAGTAGGTAAGGACATTCCACTGGATAATAACTGAAGTATAAAAGAATGCATGACTGAAGTGATGGAGATCATGTTTGAAGGCAAACAAAAAGAGGAAATAACAGGTCAAATCAAGCAAATCCCCCTCTCAGATTCCACAGCAACCAGAAGAACATAAATACTGGCTGGTGATTTGATTAATCAGCTTTGTGATGGAATAAAAAATGCACAGTGCATTTCCTTAGCTGTGGATGAGTCCACTGACACCACTGACAATGCTCAGTTGCTGGTGTTTGTGAGTTTTTATGATGAGGCAAAGGGGGAGTTTGTTGAAGATGTGTTGGGCCTGACGAACCTCAGTGGACACACAAGGGGGCAAGAAGACATTTATAAAGCAATAATGGGAATGCTGAATGAAAGAGGGTGCCGCTGTCTTTATTCATAACTGTGCAGCTCACACTGCGACTCTGAGGGATCAAGCACAGACACAATAACAATGAAAAACTGCTGCATACAGATTATTTTTGTTTTTGCAACCTCGTGTTAAGAATCTTGTTGCAATTGTTTAAAAGTTTGAATGACCGTAATAAACGGACCTTTGTCTTATTGAAACATTTCTTTTGGACCTTTAATATTTGTATTTGAGTACCCCTGACTTATAGTGAAAACCACCCTTGAATGATGGGATAGTAGACTAAAAGCTTTAGGAATCCAAACAATAACATATAATAAGTACCCTGTATCAAGATTGATGCAAAACAAGTGACATTTGACCTTTTTAGAGAGGTTTAGCAAAAGAAACTCCACTTCTGGGGTCATTTGGGTGGATTTGCCCTATCTCTGGCCCCCCTCGGTCGATTTTGATGATTGACACCTCTTTTGAACCGTTAGAGCGAATAGAATCGAGGGGAAGTTCCTAAAATCCATCTAAACCTTACCCAATGGTGATGCGTAGCCAGAATGCCCAAAACCGGAAGCTGTCATACACTCTCGTAGCTATCATAGTAGCTATATATGAAAACTCGTTTTTGCCATAAATATGACGATGGATTATCAGTAATCATTTCAAAGTGACACAGACACATTGGATTAACCTTCAGCAGCGTTGTTATCGTTTTAATGCCATTGAACACAACTTTTGATCAGAAAACAGCAAAGGTAAGACGTATTTTGCCGTTTTGGCTGCGTAAAGCTACGTTGTGTGTTGTCTGTATTCGCATTCACTGCGGTGAGTTTTGGTCGCACAGTGATGATACTTATACCTCTGATGTGTGTGGAATCTCAGCTGATATCTTGTTTGTGCAGATCCGATAAGTAATAAAGTATTTCTACCGTGAGTTCTGTGCTAAGTGCATTAGCATTTTTTCGCTCTGGGCTAATTCAGAGGCTTGATATTACCCTTGTGTTTCGTTTAGCTAAAAATGGTTCATATTGTCAGTTAGCTGAGTTTCTCCCGTTAAGTGGGTATGACACATTAATAGGTTGTTAAATGTTAAGAAGCCCTGAGACACAGTTTAGTGAAAAGAAAGCCTGTAGCCCCCGCGGGCGGGAGCTGCCGGGCTTAACCGGTTAAGAACGAGAAAAGTTTAAACATATATATCGTTTTTTGTAAACATATGACAAATGTGCGAGGGTGATGAAGTCAGAGCATCGTTCTATTTAATCCTTGTGTGCTCCTTATGGGTACCTCCATTTTTGAAGTGCCGGAGCGGCATTCCGGTGCGTTCCGGCAGCACTACACCCCTGCTTGTGTTACGTTTTTTAGATACTCCAAGTAAAGGTTTTTGTTTAGCCTTTTTTTGATCCCATAGTTTCTCAGTTTTGATCCTCTAAGTGAGCATTTTGTGTTTTTGCCTCTGATTAATCCTGACCTGGTTCTGGTGTCGTGCGTTTGGGTCCTGAGCATTGTGTCGATCATAACAGTATGATTCTCATTGAGTCTTTTCCTGGTTAAATCAAGGTTTAGGTGTGCTCCTGATTAGTTAAAATCACTGCTGGTGCTCTTAATACATATACTGTAGGAAGAGCATATTGAGTTTCTTGCAAAAGGAAAATAATGTTTTTGCTTGGTGAGCATTACTGTTCTGAACTCTGAGTCTGAATATGTCACTGCCTGAATCTACTGTTTTCACTTTCTTTGGTTCATTTGTTTAAAAATAAATTGTATTCAGTAACCGGAGCAATATGTTAGTGTGGAGTGATTGTACTGATTACATTTCTTAAAAGGTCATTCATAACTGTAAATGAATACCTTTCATAACCTAACCCTGCAAACCCTGAATATCAGAATATATCTATAATGACAGTGAACAGAATAAGGGAGCTTTCTGTTGGTGCCTATGTTATGAAATATATTTAATTGTTCTGTTGAGTTAAGCTTGTGGTGTTTGTGGATCTCTCCGGACAGGGCATGAAAATGTAAAACTGTACAGTAACATGTGCAGCTCTCATGAAGCAAACTTAAAACACACTCACATTTCCTCAGACCAGGTTTCAACCTCTGCAGTCCACCATGGTCCATCCTGCAGGAAGAAACACAATCAGAATCAACTTCATACACCTTCACTCATATCCCCCATTAAACAGGAAGCTGTCTGTCTGTCTGTCTGTAAGTCTGTCTGTCTGTAAGTCTGTCTGTCTGTCTGTGTATACCTGAGTGTCTCCAGTCTCCAGAGTGGATCCTCCAGTCCAGCAGACAGCAGCTTCTCTCCCGAGTCTCCTGGATGATTGTAGCTCAGGTCCAGCTCTCTCAGATGGGAGGAGTTGGAGCTCAGAGCTGAAGCCAGAGAAACACAGCCTTCCTTTGTGACCAGACAGCCTGACAGACTGAACATACACACACACACGCACAGACACACACACACACACACACACACACACACAGACACACACACAACCCAAGAGCTGAATATAGAATCATACAAGAGACAAAACAGCCTTAATATGTAATGTGCATTGTTACAAGCTCTCTAAGACAAACCATAGAGTTTCCAATTCACAGTGTGGACTCTTCAGTCCAGCAGACAGCAGCTTCACTCCTGAATCCTGCAGGTTGTTGTTACTCAGGTCCAGATCTCTCAGACTATAGGACTGGGAGCTGAGGACTGAGGACAGAGCTTCACAGCTTCGCTCTGAGAGGTTACAGTCACTCAGTCTGAAAAGGAATCAGCAATAGTCGTAATCAATGTCATAGTACTGATACAAGAAAAACTACAATTAACCTGGATAGTTATGTGTTCACTTACAGGGCTTTGTTTGATGCTTTGACCACTGGCAGCAGCCTCAGAAGAGCCTCCTCTGAAGCAGAGTATTTCTTCAGGTCAAATGCGTCCAGATCTTCTTCTGATGACAGTAACATGAAGCCCAGAGCTGACCACTGAGCAGGAGAGAGTTTATATCTGGAGAGACTTCCTGATCTGAGGTACCATTGGATCTCCTTCACTAGAGAACGATCATTCAGTTCATTCAGACAGTGGAACAGGTTGATGCTTCTCTCTGGAGAGGATGTCTTATTGATTTTATTCTTGATGTACTTAACTGTTTCCTGGTTGGTCCCTGTGCCACTTCCTGTCTGTGTCAGCAGGCCTCGTAGGAGTTTCTGATTGGTCTGCAGTGAAAGACCCAGGAGGAAGCGGAGGAACAAGTCCAGGTGTCCGTTTGGACTCTGTAAGGACTTGTTCACAGCAGTCTGGTAGAGATGTATTAGTTTAGGTTTGACTTCAGACTTCTGGGAGGTTGTTGGTTCGTCTGCCAGCAGGTTGACTCCAGAGTTGATGAAGGTCAGATGGACATGAAGAGCAGCCAGAAACTCCTGAACGCTCAGATGGACGAAGCAGAACACCTTGTCCTGGTACAGTGCTCTCACCTCTCTAAAGACCTGTGTGAACACTCCTGAGCACACTGAGGCTGCTCTGATATCGATGTCACACTCTGTCAGGTCGGACTCATAGAAGATCAGGTTGCCTTTCTGCAGCTGCTCAAGAGACAGTTTCCCCAGAGACTCCATCATCTTCCTGCTCTCTGGAGTCCAGTGTGAATCTGTCTCAGCTCCTCCATCATACTTGATGTTCTTCACTTTGGACTGAACCACCAGGAAGTGGATGAACATCTCAGTCAGGGTCTTGGGCAGCTCTCCTCCCTCTCCGGTTTTCAACATGTCCTCCAGAACTGTAGCAGAGATCCAGCAGAAGAGTGGGATGTGGCACATGATGTAGAGGCTTCGTGAGGCCTTGATGTGGGAGATGATGGTGCCGGCCTGCTTCTGATCACTGAATCTCTTCCTGAAGTACTCCTCCTTCTGTGGGTCAGTGAACCCTTGGACCTCTGTCACCATGCCCACACACTCACGAGGGATCTGATTGGCTGCTGCAGGTCGTGTGGTTATCCAGAGGCGAGCAGAGGGAAGCAGCTTCCCCCTGATGAGGTTTGTCAGCAGCACATCCACTGAGGTGGACTCTGTGACATCAGTCAGGATCTCAGTGTTGTGGAAGTCCAGAGGAGGTTGACACTCATCCAGACCGTCAAAGATGAACAAAACCGGGAACTGATCAAACCTGCAGATTCCTGCGTCTCTGGTTTCAGAGAAGAAGTGATGAACAAGTTCCACAAAGCTGTACTTTTTCTCTCTCACCACATTCAGCTCTTTGAACTTGAAGGGAAATATGAACTGGATGTCCTGGTTGGCTTTGCCTTCAGCCCAGTCCAGAGTGAACTTCTGTGTTAAGACTGTTTTCCCAATTCCAGCCACTCCCTTTGTCATCACTCTGATTGGTGCATCTCTTCCAGGTGAGGCTTTAAAGAGTTCTTCTTGTCTGATGGCTGTTTCTGGTCTGTCTGGTTTCCTGGATGCTGTTTCAATCTGTCTGACCTCATGTTCATCATTGACCTCTGCATCCCCCCCCTCTGTGATGGAGATCTCGGTGTAGATTTCATGCAGGGGTTTTAAATTTCCTTTTTTTGTTATTTTCTTAGATATTAATTCAGACTTTTTCTTCAGGTTTGATTTGAGTTTAGCTTGGCACTCAGAAACAATCTCTGAATGAAGCAAAAAGGAAAATGTACAATTAGAGGAGATACTACAAATGACAAGTGTCTAAATACGTCCTCCTAATTTAACACAATAGTAGATTATTTTTCAACGATCAAGACCCTGTATCTATGTAGCAAGCCAAAAATATTGCCCTGACCCAGATAGCCAGCATAAAAGCAGTAGCTGAGAGAAGAAAAGCGGCAGAGGGGTTTTTTCTTTGGTAAGTACTCTCAAATTGGTTTTGTATTGCAACTGAAGAGGGCAGTTGATTTTGTGCCCGGTCACCTATGAGGATCTTCCTCTGAGTTCTGCCCGAAAGAGAGAGACCAACCCGGTATCACGGCAAGACGTGAACATGTGACGATTTACCATGCTGGGAGACGTGAAGATGTCACGATTTCGTCCCTTCAAACGTGACAGTTACACGGTATTGTTAACATGGCCCAACCAGTGGAAATATACCCGGAAATGCCAAGCAAATGCTACCCCGACGGTCGGTTGTTATTGTCAATATTAATATAATAATGATTTATTTTTTAACCTGTTTCACACCTTCCCCCCGGTACCGGGCGGATAAACGCGTCATTTGCAGGAAACAACGTCTAAGGAATCTTAATATTGAATAAAACTATGAATGTGTTATATCCATGTAACGGGAAGAAACTCAGCTAACTTTTTTCAAAAAAAACCCACATTGCTAGCACTCAGCCTCTGAATTAGCCTCAAGCGAAAAAAACGTAACATACTAAGGCAACTAAACTCACTCTAACTCCCTTATTACTTATCCTAGATGCACAACCAACCACTCTTTTTTGGTGTCCTGGAGACACTGAATCTAGTGGTGCCCTCCTCAACACTCAGTGATAAACATTCGCGACGCTCTAAACGAAAGCGTACATCATCACATGTGGAGCTAAGAAGCTAAACACGTAAATATGGCTTACCTTGGTCAAAAGTGGTCTTCAATGGCATTAAAACGATAAAAAAACGATGCTGCAGTTAATCCATAGGTTCATCCTATGTGTCTGTGCCTTCTTTGAAATTATTTCTGATAATCCATAAGCAATACAACTGCGTTTTAGTTTCCAAACTCCAGAAGGAGACATTCCTCCAGTTTGGTTTCGTTTTCCACACGCGAAGCAACCACATTTTTTCTTTACAACGTGTCTGGGTGGGAGCCTCCCCCTTCGATTCTATTGGCTCTAATGGTCACAAGGGTATGTCAACCAACCAAATCGAGCAAGGGGGGCCAGAGATAGGTCAAATCCACCCAAATGACCCCAGATGGCCCAGTTTTTGGCTAAATCTCTCTAAAAAGGTCAAATTTCACTTGTTTTGCATCAATCTTGATACAGGGTACTTATTATATGTTGTACTTTGGATTCCTAAAGCTTTTAGTCTACTAACCCATCATCCAAGGGTAGTTTTCACTATCTGTAAAAAATAATTTTTGGACGGACACTATAATTTACAGTTTTTTACTATGTAAAATCTGAATTTTCTTTAAAATAAAAAACATTTATATTGATTCTGACACTTCTACATCCAACTCACAGGTTTATCATTACTTTGAGAACAAAGATTATTAATTTAACCCTTTTAGAAGGGAAGATATGGTCATTTGTTCTGGGAATGTCATTTTCGAGCCTGAGACCTGAAAAACAGGCTCAGAGTGGAACAGGTTAATAGTCACACTCGATTTCGCCGATTTTCTTGTTGCCCCAGCTGGTCGACACCTGTTTTAGCAGAAACAAAGGCTACATTAAAGTGGACCTATCATGCTATATTTGAAACATATATTGTAGGGCCATACCTATGTAAAACATGTCTGTGAAGTTTTTTTTTCAAAATACCAAACAGATCATGCATTTTAGCCATGCCTCATTTCGCTCTATTTGCTCTTTTCCAGCCCTGTTTTTGCAAGGGCTGATTCTGCTTTTGTGGCAGACTACAGCGCCACTTACAGGTCTGGCATATGTACTACAGCGTCTCCAGCGCTTTCGAGCGGTCTCTCATTCCCCTGATAGGTGGAGAGTTGCCCATATAGGCGGAGCACCCCTTTTCTGACGTCAGAAAAATTCAAATAATAATCAGCTCCGTTGCAGCCCCGTTTTTAGAGATTTGGGTATGGAGGAAAATAGAGAGGGTTGTTTTTTCTGACACTTGGTGAGTTCCCTGACACACCGGGGACACATATTCATGTAGAAAAGACGTACAAAAGTGCATTTTGCATGATAGGTCCCCTTTAATGTATTACATCGATGTTAATCCATGTGTGTGGATCATAGACTGTATATATAAAGGTATGGATGTAGAATTAACGGACGTGACATTGTGCGATTGCGTTGCCAGGCAACAGCTTCGGTTCATGTTAATTTACAAACTCTTCAACTAGAACCATAGTTATATTTAAAAACATTTTAGAAGGCCTCACGAAATACTTTAATGTAAATTAAAATGTAAATGTGAAGGAATGTGTGTGTCATAAAAAATACCGGAAACAGACGTAGGCAAGGTCCTCAGCTCGGTGATTCGATGGTTTTGCCGCAATGCACGTTGGGAAATGGTGTTTATGCGATGTGAAATCCGAAAACATTTATTAAAAATAAAATAATACTTTATTCCGAGTGTGCTTGCTTTTCTCTTTGGAGGTCATCACATAACGGCATTGTAATACACGGTTCGGCTGCATTAAATATTACATATCTGCCGTAGTTCTCTATTTATAGAGCCCTGATGAGAAGACTTCTGGACAAACAGGAAGCACTGCCGCCAAAACTGAAAACGTGACGTGGATCATAAATATATCAGCAATTAAACAACATCTTAGATTTCTTTTCACACAATACGTCTCCTTGCAGTAGCAATACTAATTCGGCTGCTATATTTGATCCAATTGGTAGATAGGTTATATTTACACCATAATGGTGCACAGCTGATATAAAAGGACTTGCAGTTTTTAAAGATATTACCGATTTTCTTTGAATATAAGAATGTAAATACTGAGTTGAGAGAATAGTCAGGAGATTTGGGTGATGGGAGACACATCTATGGATTCAGAATTTCAATTGCTTACTGTTAAATGACGGATATACCTTTCTGTCTGTGATGTTTTACAAATCAGATATTAGAAGTAAAACAAGTGAAACAATATAGCAATATCCTGTACAATTATGTGAAAACATGAATAAAACTACACATCTTCAGATGTTATACATACATAATAGGCTGTATTCACAAAAATGAAACCATCAATAGCAAAAACAGAATTAACTGTCATTAGTAAACCACTAAAATAAAAAGATCATAAGTGGTTTTGTTTTACATATATTTTAAGGATAATAATAGCAATGTAACACTGTCTATGACACTTATAACACTGATTTGAAAAACATACAGAAAAAACGAATTCACTGCCCTTAATAAAGTATTTAAATATACATTTCAGGTGTGCTGTTTTGTTTAGATCATTGACATCTGGAGCTCTTTTAATGTCCTTTTTGTTACGCCAGGTCTTGTCAAAACCTTTATTCCATATTCAATATCCATTACTAAACAAAACAGCAATTCTACTCCACTACAATTCAGAGGTTAACCTGGTATTTTTACTCCACTACATTTATTTTAGTTACTTTGCAGATTCTGATTAATGATGTGAAATATAAACAACCCTTAAATCAGGCTTTAGTTACACCTGAGTAAAATTCAGGGAAAGGTGATTGTCAAGTGCCAACAATCAGGAGAGATATTTGATAGTTGCTGCTTGAGAAGACTAAACATTTATCTGCAGATCCCTATAAAGTATATTCATTACTCGTTATTCTCTACTAATAGTTAATTAAAGACTGTATATAATGGCTATTTTGCATATCCCTTTCAAGATTTCAAGATTTTCTAAGGTTCATTGACATATCATATACACAACTAATTCAATTACGTGCTTTAACCACTAGGCGGTGCACACAAGGTACACACAGCCATAATAACTTTGTATTATTAGTGTAGGACACTGGTGTATGTATAACATCTGAAGATGTGTAGTTTTATTCATGTTTTCACATAATTGTACAGGATATTGCTATATTATTTCACATGTTTTACTTCTAATATCTGATTTGTAAAACATCACAGACAGAAAGGTATATCCGTCATTTAACAGTAAGCTATTGAAATTCTGAATCCATAGATGTGTCTCCCATCACCCAAAACCCCTGACTATTCTCTCAACTCAGTATTTACATTATTATATTAAAAAAAAATCAGTAATATCTTTAAAAACTGCAAGTCCTTTTATATCAGCTGTGCACCGTTATGGTGTAAATATAACCTATCTACCAATTGGATCAAATATAAAAGTCAGCTGAATTAGTATTGCTACTGCAAGGAGACGTATTGTGTGAAAAGAAATGTAAGATGTTGTTTAATTGCTGATATATTTATGATCCACGTCACGTTTTCAGTTTCGGTGGCAGTGCTTCCTGTTTGTCCAGAAGTCTTCTCATCAGGGCTCTATAAATAGAGAACTAAGGCAGATATGTAATATTTAATGCAGCCGAACCGTGTATTACAATGCCGTTATGTGATGACTTTCAAAGAGAAAAGCAAGCACACTCTGAATAAAGTATTATTTTATTTTTTTTAAATGTTTTCGGATTTCACATCGCATAAACACCATTTCCCAACGTGCATTGCGGCTAAACCATCGAATCACCGAGCTGAGGACCTTGCCTACGTCTGTTTCCGGTATTTTTTATGACGGATGTATTTTGTTATACACACATTCCTTCACATTTAAATTTGAATTTACATTAAAGTATTTCGTGAGGCCTTCTAAAATGTTTTTAAATATAACTACGGTTCTAGTTGAAGAGTTTGTAAATTAACATGAACCGAAGCTGTTGCCTGGCAACGCAATTGCACAACGTCACGTCCGTTAATTCCACATCCACACACATGGATTAACATGGATTTAATACATTAATGTAGCCTTTGTTTCTGCTAAAAGAGGTGTCGACCAGCTGGGGCAACAAGAAAATCGGCGAAATCGAGTATGACTATTAAAAAATAAATCATTATTATATTAATATTGACAATAACAACCGACCGTCGGGGTAGCATTTGCTTGGCATTTCCGGGTATATCTCAACTGGTTGGGCCATGTTAACAATACCGTGTAACTGTCACGTTTGAAGGGACGAAATCGTGACATCTTCACGTCTCCCAGCATGGTAAATCATCACATGTTCACGTCTTGCCGTGATACTGGGTTGAGAGACACCTTGCACATAACTCTCTAGATACCAGAATCCTACGGGATCGCTTAAACAGATTTAGTAAATCGTCTGCCTTAAAACAGCAGTTAATTGAACTTGGTTCTCCAGAAGTTAGTAGAGGTAAGACCTTGCCGATCCAGGTGGATCCGAGCCTGGCGGTAAACTTGCATAGACTCAAAAGCTTTTGATAGGTCAATCAGTAGGTCTGATTAATAGTCAGAGATTATTTCAGGCCCGACGTCCTCAACAACACAATGAACTCTTGGTCTTTGCATCAGCAGAGACTAAAGTGACGGCTTTCATCTCAATGAACCTCAAAGGTGACCGGGGCAAGGACAGGAAAGAAGAGAGAGTCAAATCTCTATCCGATTGTTTCTTTCAAGAGCTGTTGTAGAGCTGAGCCCAAAATGTGTGGTTTGTCTAGCCTGGAGTGAGCATGCCATGTTCCTCTCCTTCACCAAGACCCAACTGGCATTGATGGACCCTTAGATGATCCAGTTTGTGCCTGGTTAAAGGATGAAGCCCCGGTGTCCCTAATACAGCGGTGGTAGCTTTCTTCCTAACTGGCTCTCCTCTAAAGGTTTTACTACCCTCACCTGGAACAAATATCCCTGGGTGACCCTGTCAGAAACAGTTGACCCTGACCACACAGCTTCTAAACCACGACACCATGTACAGATGGTAATTGTCTGAGGGGTATATCAGGAGGGGGCACATTCTGTTATCATTCTGATTTACCTGACCACAGTCAAAAAACATGATGCAGGGTTATAAAAAAAGTCCCATCTTTGTAACGTCTTTTTAATGACCTACCTGTAGGTTCTGAAGGGTGTTTTGATAATTTCTCCTTAAGCTCATTTTGCTTTATCTGCCCCAAAACCATTATGGTCACTTTGAACGTATTTATGCAGTAGTTCAGAAACATCTGATCCACTGTGTCCATCCGGTCTGCATCCTCCAGCCGACTCTTTGGGATTCCTTGGAATCCTAGGACCTCCTCCTCCAGACACCACTTGAACTCTTTAAAGTCCTCTTTCCCCAAATATTCCAGAGTTCTAAAGAGGATCTTTTTAGGAGTCTCCATCTTTCCTGCAGAGATTCAAAAGGAGAAAATGATATGTAGATATATTTATAGATATAGGAGAGGGATCATTGAAACAACAAAATTAGGACCCTAGCTATCGATTAGTTTTAGTAATCGGGGGGTGGGGGCTGCTCATATGGACCTCTGAACTTAAATAAATAACGTTCAATCTGATGATGTGTGTTCTGTATGTTAGTGATCTACGATAACAATCAGACTGCTGCTCATTCTTAATATATCTACACGAGTAATTGTGTATTTTAAAAGAAATATTCGAATTAGAATTTCCCATTACCAGAAAGTTAGTAGATACTTATAGTGAAATGTCATTATTATCGATATCCGATGAATTACCACTTTAAAAGATGGGGTCTGCTTTAAAATCTATTCTTAATACCGACTGTCTCCAAAATGTTTTTTCTTTAAAGGCCTTTTTACTAATGTCTCCCTGTTCATGCAACAAAACTACTGTTATATTTATCCCCAAATCTATAATTCCAAACATTAAAAAAGCATCTGAAACAAATGAATCTTTCTTCGGTTAGAAAATGTGTTAATGCACCCTCATGTTTCTGTGTTTAACTCTTTCTACATTCTGTAGAACGGATGCATTTGGGGGATTTATGGGTGCAGATAGAACATCATCATCTGACTCTTTACAACTTTTTAAATATTTACATATTTAAATGATGGCAAAAGGTTTAAGAGAAAGACAAAGGATAGTTGACATGTTGTCTTCCTTTGGGGACCCCTGATGTCTGAGAGGACCCCCAAAGGAGTGTAAAAACACATCTGAGTCACGAGAGAACCGGTGTAACCAGTGTCAGGAACCCAGTCAGTGAGAGGTGATGTAGTTCTACTAGCTGACCACTAGATGGTGCATTTTGACACATCAAAATCAAATGTAATCCACAAATAACTTCCTCGCAACGTACCTGACCTGCAGTTTGGATGAATGGGAAAATACTTTTTAGAAGACCAGGCTGATTTCATATAACCCTTTAAATGTAATATCTGAATGTATTTTCATGGTAATGTGTTGTATCTAACCAAAATGTATTTGTTACACTTGAAACATTCGCTCTGACACCCCTATTATATTTTGTTAGAATTTGGCAGATAACAAATGAATAATCCCGAAAATTAAAAGGCATCTGAAACATTTGATATTTCTTCTGTTATAATCCTGCTAAATGTGTTAATGCACCCACATATGCATCCTGTAGAACAAATACATTTTGGGGATTCATGGGAGTAGAGAGAAACTCAACATGTGTCCTATAATAATATAAATCTTTATAAATAGCTATATATTTGAATGACGACAAAAGATAAAGAGAGATAAACAAAGGACGCCGTCACACCCTCATAAAACACATCTGAGTCACGTGAGAACCGGTGTAACCAGTGTCAGGAACCCAGTCAGTGAGAGGTGATGTAGTTCTACTAGCTGACCACTAGATGGTGCTAACTGACCCTCTAATGAAATGAAGATTAGCTCTGATATGTGATGTGATATGTGATGCATGTCTGCCTGATCACACACATTGGGAGATATGTAATTTATTTTTGAATGTACTATGCACTACAACTAAACTGCTTTCTCAATAAAGTTTCAACAAAAGTCAGGGTTATGTTTAGATAACATAACATATTGTTGAACATTGTGATCATTGGCTGAAAAAAAATGTCGTTAAGTTATTTATATGATTCCGGTACAGACTATTATTCAAGCTATGTTCTCCCTACACGGTATTTTCTGGACTGATTCCAACAGTAAGTTTGATCAAATGTTGAGAGCTGAGCTGAGCTGAAGGCTCTTCAGTGAAACCAGCTCAGTGTCAGTGTAGGAGGATGGCTGTATCTGAGCCCTTCTCACTTCATCCATGCACTTTAGTTCAGATTATTAAGAGTTAAAAAATAATGAATACTCAGTCACATGTCAGAGTTGACAGACCAGTTCTGACACACCCTGCATTTTTCACTGATGCTGTGTGTTCTGTATGTTAGTGATCTACGATAACAATCAGACTGCGGCTCATTCTTAATATATCTACACGACTAACTGTGTATTAAAAGAAACTTTCGATTTAGGATTTCACATTACCAGAAACTTAGTAGTAGACACTTATACTAGTGAAATGTCATTATTATTGATATCCGATGAATTACCACTTTAAAAGATGGCGTCTGCTTTAAAATCTATTCTTAATAGCGACTGGCTCCAAACTGTTTTTTCTTTAGGCCTTTTTACTAAATGTCTCCCTGTTCATGCAACAAAACTACTGTTATATTCATCCCCAAATCTTTAATTCCAAACATTAAAAAAGCATCTGAAACAAATGAGTTTCTCTTCGGTTAGAAAATGTGCTAATGCACCCTCATGTTTCTGTGTTTAACTCTTTCTACATTCTGTAGAACGGATGCATTTGGGGGATTTATGGGTGCAGGTAGAAAATAATCATCTGAGTCTTTACAACTTTTTTAATCTTTACATATTTAAATGATGGCAAAAGGTTTAAGAGAAAGACAAAGGATAGTTGACATGTTGTCTTCCTTTGGGGACCCCTGATGTCTGAGAGGACCCCCAAAGGAGTGTAAAAACACATCTGAGTCACGAGAGAACCGGTGTAACCAGTGTCAGGAACCAAGTCAGTGAGAGGTGATGTAGTTCTACTAGCTGACCACTAGATGGTGCATTTTTGACACATCAAAATCAAATGTAATCTACGAATAACTTCCTCGCAATGTACCTGACCTGCAGTTTGGATGAATGGGAAAATACTTTTTAGAATTAGATTATTAAGAGTTAAATAATAAATACTCAGTCACATGTCAGAGTTGAGAGACCGGTTCTGACACACCCTACATTTTTCACTGATGACGTGTGTTCTGTATGTTAGTGATCTAAGATAACAATCAGACTGCTGCTCTTTCCACCTGAGAAACACTGACAACAGAACATGGAAATCTTTCTAAATTCATTCTGCTTTCACTCAGAGAGAAACACAATATTTCAAACAGATATTTAGAATCAGCATGAAGAAACATGTCCAGGTAAACAGAGACACAGCACAATGTGATCAGAGTGATCCTGATGATGAGACAGATTCCTGTGAGAACCGGTGTAACCAGTGTCAGGAACCCAGTCAGTGAGAGGTGATGTAGTTCTACTAGCTGACCACTAGATGGTGCTAACTGACCCTCTACTGAAATGAAGATTAGCTCTGATATGTGATGTGATATGTGATGCATGTCTGCCTGATCACACACTTTGGGAGATATGTAATTTATTTTTGAATGTACTATGCACTACAACTAAACTGCTTTCTCAATAAAGTTTCAACAAAAGTCAGGGTTATGTTTAGATAACATAACATATTGTTGATCATTGGGATCATTGGCTGAAAAAAAATATCGTTAAGTTATTTATATGATTCCGGTACAGACTATTATTCAAGCTATGTTCTCCCTACACGGTATTTTCTGGACTGATTCCAACAGTAAGTTTGATCAAATGTTGAGAGCTGAGCTGAGCTGAAGGCTCTTCAGTGAAACCAGCTCAGTGTCAGTGTAGGAGGATGGCTGTATCTGAGCCCTTCTCACTTCATCCATGCACTTTAGTTCAGAGAATTAAGAGATAAATTATAAATACACCTCAGTCACATGTCAGAGTTGACAGACCAGTTCTGACACACCCTGCATTTTTCACTGATGCTGTGTGTTCTGTATGTTAGTGATCTACGATAACAATCAGACTGCGGCTCATTCTTAATATATCTACACGACTAACTGTGTATTAAAAGAAACTTTCGATTTAGGATTTCACATTACCAGAAACTTAGTAGTAGATACTTATACTAGTGAAATGTCATTATTATTGATATCCGATGAATTACCACTTTAAAAGATGGCGTCTGCTTTAAAATCTATTCTTAATACCGACTGTCTCCAAACTGTTTTTTCTTTAAAGGCCTTTTTACTAAATGTCTCCCTGTTCACGCAACAAAACTACTGTTATATTTATCCCCAAATCTTTCATTCCAAACATTAAAAAAGCATCTGAAACAAATGAGTTTCTCTTCGGTTAGAAAATGTGCTAATGCACCCTCATGTTTCTGTGTTTAACTCTTTCTACATTCTGTAGAACGGATGCATTTGGGGGATTTATGGGTGCAGGTAGAAAATCATCATCTGAGTCTTTACAACTTTTTTAATATTTACATATTTAAATGATGGCAAAAGTTTTAAGAGAAAGACAAAGGATAGTTGACATGTTGTCTTCCTTTGGGGACCCCTGATGTCTGAGAGGACCCCCAAAGGAGTGTAAAAACACATCTGAGTCACGAGAGAACCGGTGTAACCAGTGTCAGGAACCCAGTCAGTGAGAGGTGATGTAGTTCTACTAGCTGACCACTAGATGGTGCATTTTTGACACATCAAAATCAAATGTAATCCACGAATAACTTCCTCGCAACGTACCTGACCTGCAGTTTGGATGAATGGGAAAATACTTTTTAGAATTAGATTATTAAGAGTTAAATAATAAATACTCAGTCACATGTCAGAGTTCTTAGACCAGTTCTGACACACCCTGCATTTTTCACTGATGACGTGTGTTCTGTATGTTAGTGATCTAAGATAACAATCAGACTGCTGCTCTTTCCACCTGAGAAACACTGACAACAGAACATGGAAATCTTTCTAAATTCATTCTGCTTTCACTCAGAGAGAAACACAATATTTCAAACAGATATTTAGAATCAGCATGAAGAAACGTGTCCAGGTAAACAGAGACACAGCACAATGTGATCAGAGTGATCCTGATGATGAGACAGATTCCTGTGAGAACCGGTGTAACCAGTGTCAGGAACCCAGTCAGTGAGAGGTGATGTAGTTCTACTAGCTGACCACTAGATGGTGCATTTTTGACACATCAAAATCAAATGTAATCTACGAATAACTTCCTCACAACGTACCTGACCTGCAGTTTGGATGAATGGGAAAATACTTTTTAGAAGACCAGGCTGATTTCATATAACCCCTTTCCTTAAAATGTAATATCTGAATGTATTTTCATGGTAATGTGTTGTATCTAACCAAAATGTATTTGTTACACTTGAAACATTCGCTCTGACACCCCTATTATATTTTGTTAGAATTTGGCAGATAACATATGAATAATCCCGAAAATTAAAAGGCATCTGAAACATTTGATATTTCTTCTGTTATAATCCTGCTAAATGTGTTAATGCACCCACATATGCATCCTGTAGAACAAATACATTTTGGGGATTCATGGGAGTAGAGAGAAACTCAACATGTGTCCTATAATAATATAAATCTTTATAAATAGCTATATATTTGAATGACGACAAAAGATAAAGAGAGATAAACAAAGGACGCCGTCACACCCTCATAAAACACATCTGAGTCACGTGAGAACCGGTGTAACCAGTGTCAGGAACCCAGTCAGTGAGAGGTGATGTAGTTCTACTAGCTGACCACTTGATGGTGCTAACTGACCATCTAATGAAATGAAGATTAGCTCTGATATGTGATGTGATATGTGATGCATGTCTGCCTGATCACACACTTTGGGAGATATGTAATTTATTTTTGAATGTACTATGCACTACAACTAAACTGCTTTCTCAATAAAGTTTCAACAAAAGTCAGGGTTATGTTTAGATAACATAACATATTGTTGAACATTGTGATCATTGGCTGAAAAAAAATGTCGTTAAGTTATTTATATGATTCCGGTACAGACTATTATTCAAGCTATGTTCTCCCTACACGGTATTTTCTGGACTGATTCCAACAGTAAGTTTGATCAAATGTTGAGAGCTGAGCTGAGCTGAAGGCTCTTCAGTGAAACCAGCTCAGTGTCAGTGTAGGAGGATGGCTGTATCTGAGCCCTTCTCACTTCATCCATGCACTTTAGTTCAGAGAATTAAGAGATAAATTATAAATACACCTCAGTCACATGTCAGAGTTGACAGACCAGTTCTGACACACCCTGCATTTTTCACTGATGCTGTGTGTTCTGTATGTTAGTGATCTACGATAACAATCAGACTGCGGCTCATTCTTAATATATCTACACGACTAACTGTGTATTAAAAGAAACTTTCGATTTAGGATTTCACATTACCAGAAACTTAGTAGTAGATACTTATACTAGTGAAATGTCATTATTATTGATATCCGATGAATTACCACTTTAAAAGATGGCGTCTGCTTTAAAATCTATTCTTAATAGCGACTGTCTCCAAACTGTTTTTTCTTTAAAGGCCTTTTTACTAAATGTCTCCCTGTTCATGCAACAAAACTACTGTTATATTTATCCCCAAATCTTTCATTCCAAACATTAAAAAAGCATCTGAAACAAATGAGTTTCTCTTCGGTTAGAAAATGTGCTAATGCACCCTCATGTTTCTGTGTTTAACTCTTTCTACATTCTGTAGAACGGATGCATTTGGGGGATTTATGGGTGCAGGTAGAAAATAATCATCTGAGTCTTTACAACTTTTTTAATCTTTACATATTTAAATGATGGCAAAAGGTTTAAGAGAAAGACAAAGGATAGTTGACATGTTGTCTTCCTTTGGGGACCCCTGATGTCTGAGAGGACCCCCAAAGGAGTGTAAAAACACATCTGAGTCACGAGAGAACCGGTGTAACCAGTGTCAGGAACCAAGTCAGTGAGAGGTGATGTAGTTCTACTAGCTGACCACTAGATGGTGCATTTTTGACACATCAAAATCAAATGTAATCTACGAATAACTTCCTCACAATGTACCTGACCTGCAGTTTGGATGAATGGGAAAATACTTTTTAGAAGACCAGGCTGATTTCATATAACCCCTTTCCTTAAAATGTAATATCTGAATGTATTTTCATGGTAATGTGTTGTATCTAACCAAAATGTATTTGTTACACTTGAAACATTCGCTCTGACACCCCTATTATATTTTGTTAGAATTTGGCAGATAACATATGAATAATCCCGAAAATTAAAAGGCATCTGAAACATTTGATATTTCTTCTGTTATAATCCTGCTAAATGTGTTAATGCACCCACATATGCATCCTGTAGAACAAATACATTTTGGGGATTCATGGGAGTAGAGAGAAACTCAACATGTGTCCTATAATAATATAAATCTTTATAAATAGCTATATATTTGAATGACGACAAAAGATAAAGAGAGATAAACAAAGGACGCCGTCACACCCTCATAAAACACATCTGAGTCACGTGAGAACCGGTGTAACCAGTGTCAGGAACCCAGTCAGTGAGAGGTGATGTAGTTCTACTAGCTGACCACTTGATGGTGCTAACTGACCATCTAATGAAATGAAGATTAGCTCTGATATGTGATGTGATATGTGATGCATGTCTGCCTGATCACACACTTTGGGAGATATGTAATTTATTTTTGAATGTACTATGCACTACAACTAAACTGCTTTCTCAATAAAGTTTCAACAAAAGTCAGGGTTATGTTTAGATAACAGAACATATTGTTGAACATTGTGATCATTGGCTGAAAAAAAATGTCGTTAAGTTATTTATATGATTCCGGTACAGACTATTATTCAAGCTATGTTCTCCCTACACGGTATTTTCTGGACTGATTCCAACAGTAAGTTTGATCAAATGTTGAGAGCTGAGCTGAGCTGAAGGCTCTTCAGTGAAACCAGCTCAGTGTCAGTGTAGGAGGATGGCTGTATCTGAGCCCTTCTCACTTCATCCATGCACTTTAGTTCAGAGAATTAAGAGATAAATTATAAATACACCTCAGTCACATGTCAGAGTTGACAGACCAGTTCTGACACACCCTGCATTTTTCACTGATGCTGTGTGTTCTGTATGTTAGTGATCTACGATAACAATCAGACTGCGGCTCATTCTTAATATATCTACACGACTAACTGTGTATTAAAAGAAACTTTCGATTTAGGATTTCACATTACCAGAAACTTAGTAGTAGATACTTATACTAGTGAAATGTCATTATTATTGATATCCGATGAATTACCACTTTAAAAGATGGCGTCTGCTTTAAAATCTATTCTTAATAGCGACTGTCTCCAAACTGTTTTTTCTTTAAAGGCCTTTTTACTAAATGTCTCCCTGTTCATGCAACAAAACTACTGTTATATTCATCCCCAAATCTTTCATTCCAAACATTAAAAAAGCATCTGAAACAAATGAGTTTCTCTTCGGTTAGAAAATGTGCTAATGCACCCTCATGTTTCTGTGTTTAACTCTTTCTACATTCTGTAGAACGGATGCATTTGGGGGATTTATGGGTGCAGGTAGAAAATAATCATCTGAGTCTTTACAACTTTTTTAATCTTTACATATTTAAATGATGGCAAAAGGTTTAAGAGAAAGACAAAGGATAGTTGACATGTTGTCTTCCTTTGGGGACCCCTGATGTCTGAGAGGACCCCCAAAGGAGTGTAAAAACACATCTGAGTCACGAGAGAACCGGTGTAACCAGTGTCAGGAACCAAGTCAGTGAGAGGTGATGTAGTTCTACTAGCTGACCACTAGATGGTGCATTTTTGACACATCAAAATCAAATGTAATCTACGAATAACTTCCTCGCAATGTACCTGACCTGCAGTTTGGATGAATGGGAAAATACTTTTTAGAATTAGATTATTAAGAGTTAAATAATAAATACTCAGTCACATGTCAGAGTTCTTAGACCGGTTCTGACACACCCTGCATTTTTCACTGATGACGTGTGTTCTGTATGTTAGTGATCTAAGATAACAATCAGACTGCTGCTCTTTCCACCTGAGAAACACTGACAACAGAACATGGAAATCTTTCTAAATTCATTCTGCTTTCACTCAGAGAGAAACACAATATTTCAAACAGATATTTAGAATCAGCATGAAGAAACATGTCCAGGTAAACAGAGACACAGCACAATGTGATCAGAGTGATCCTGATGATGAGACAGATTCCTGTGAGAACCGGTGTAACCAGTGTCAGGAACCTAGTCAGTGAGAGGTGGTGTAGTTCTACTAGCTGACCACTAGATGGTGCTAACTGACCCTCTACTGAAATGAAGATTAGCTCTGATATGTGATGTGACATGTGATGCATGTCTGCCTGATCACACACTTTGGGAGATATGTAATTTATTTTTGAATGTACTATGCACTACAACTAAACTGCTTTCTCAATAAAGTTTCAACAAAAGTCAGGGTTATGTTTAGATAACATAACATATTGTTGATCATTGGGATCATTGGCTGAAAAAAAATATTGTTAAGTTATTTATATGATTCCGGTACAGACTATTATTCAAGCTATGTTCTCCCTACACGGTATTTTCTGGACTGATTCCAACAGTAAGTTTGATCAAATGTTGAGAGCTGAGCTGAGCTGAAGGCTCTTCAGTGAAACCAGCTCAGTGTCAGTGTAGGAGGATGGCTGTATCTGAGCCCTTCTCACTTCATCCATGCACTTTAGTTCAGAGAATTAAGAGATAAATTATAAATACACCTCAGTCACATGTCAGAGTTGACAGACCAGTTCTGACACACCCTGCATTTTTCACTGATGCTGTGTGTTCTGTATGTTAGTGATCTACGATAACAATCAGACTGCGGCTCATTCTTAATATATCTACACGACTAACTGTGTATTAAAAGAAACTTTCGATTTAGGATTTCACATTACCAGAAACTTAGTAGTAGATACTTATACTAGTGAAATGTCATTATTATTGATATCCGATGAATTACCACTTTAAAAGATGGCGTCTGCTTTAAAATCTATTCTTAATACCGACTGTCTCCAAACTGTTTTTTCTTTAAAGGCCTTTTTACTAAATGTCTCCCTGTTCACGCAACAAAACTACTGTTATATTTATCCCCAAATCTTTCATTCCAAACATTAAAAAAGCATCTGAAACAAATGAGTTTCTCTTCGGTTAGAAAATGTGCTAATGCACCCTCATGTTTCTGTGTTTAACTCTTTCTACATTCTGTAGAACGGATGCATTTGGGGGATTTATGGGTGCAGATAGAACATCATCATCTGAGTCTTTACAACTTTTTTAATATTTACATATTTAAATGATGGCAAAAGTTTTAAGAGAAAGACAAAGGATAGTTGACATGTTGTCTTCCTTTGGGGACCCCTGATGTCTGAGAGGACCCCCAAAGGAGTGTAAAAACACATCTGAGTCACGAGAGAACCGGTGTAACCAGTGTCAGGAACCCAGTCAGTGAGAGGTGATGTAGTTCTACTAGCTGACCACTAGATGGTGCATTTTTGACACATCAAAATCAAATGTAATCTACGAATAACTTCCTCGCAATGTACCTGACCTGCAGTTTGGATGAATGGGAAAATACTTTTTAGAATTAGATTATTAAGAGTTAAATAATAAATACTCAGTCACATGTCAGAGTTCTTAGACCAGTTCTGACACACCCTGCATTTTTCACTGATGACGTGTGTTCTGTATGTTAGTGATCTAAGATAACAATCAGACTGCTGCTCTTTCCACCTGAGAAACACTGACAACAGAACATGGAAATCTTTCTAAATTCATTCTGCTTTCACTCAGAGAGAAACACAATATTTCAAACAGATATTTAGAATCAGCATGAAGAAACGTGTCCAGGTAAACAGAGACACAGCACAATGTGATCAGAGTGATCCTGATGATGAGACAGATTCCTGTGGGAGGATTCTCACCTGTTGAACTCTCTCCAGGTCCACTCACAGACTCTCTTCAGGTCCACTCACAGACTCTCTTCATGTGTGGAGGAAACTCAGCTCTTCCTCGTCTGTCCTGTGTCTGCATGCGTCTGATCTGAGGACGCCGTCACACCCTCATCAAAACACCTCAGAGTCACGGGGAAACCGGTGTATCAGGGATGAGCCGTCAGAGGAGGAAGAGCAACACCTGTCTACTCCAATGAAAACAGCTGTAGCCAAATAAAGAGCCTTTAAAATACTTTTCCTCTGATCTGTGTTGAAAATGTACTTCTCTATGATTCCAATGACTTTATTTATAGTCAAATCTGCTATAGATTTGACTATAAATACAGTTAGAGGCAATTTCATCAACCCCTCTTAACCACTTGGTTATGTTTAAACCACAACAACAACCAATCTTTATTCAGCTTTAAATAAGTACTTCTGTTAATTTACTGCAGATACAGGCATTCGCTTTAATTTTTTTCAAAACAATACACTGACTGATAGAAAGGTGTTTCCTGTCACTTGAATTCCTCCACAAACAGTAGCTGCAGTACCAGAAGTAGACCAGCAGAGGTCAGCATTTAGCCTGCATCAAACTCTTTGGAATAATACATTGGCACTGTGCTCTGAGAAGGAGCTGTTGGCTGTAAGACTTTAAAGTCCCCTGTTCAAAGCAATGATTAAATTGTACAAATACATATTTGAATAAAACATCATGTTAAATGAACAAATTGTGGAAAAAGCAATAATATATCTGTGGTACAAATAAATAGTCTAAAGTGGAAGAACGTTCAAAAGAAATTCCTACAAAGTATAAATACATATTTAAAATTAATTAATAATAGTTGGAGCTACAGTTAAAATAGAAAGAATAGTAGAAATTAAAAGCAATTGATAAATGGCAGAAATAAATAGCTAAAAGTGGTTAGCTTTCATTCATAAATGATTCATCGTTGCATTCATTTTACTTCTTTATTCCTCATTTAGCGTTCTATTTCAATCGTTTGTTTTGTTGTTACCAGTTCAATAAACATTTAATTTCCAAAGAACTTTATCCTGTTATCTGTGTGTGTGTGTGTGTGTGTGTGTGTGTGTGTGTGTGTGTGTGTGTGTGTGTGTGTGTGTGTGTGTGTGTGTGTGTGTGTGTGTTGTGTGTGTGTGTGCACGTGTGTGTGTGTGTGTGTGTGTGTGTGTGTGTGTGCGCGCGTGTGTGTGTGTGTGTGTGTGTGTGAGAAATATCCGGTAATTTTACACTGGGCCAGAACAGCAGCCTTCAGATTATGAGACTATATTCATTATGGTTATCAATCTTTCCTTTTAATGTTAGGTGTTCAGAGGTTTTCTATTTGGTGACTCAATATAAAGTAAATGTTTCTGAGAGTTGGATCCCATCAGTCTCCTCCACCTTCTTAATGGTATAACCAGGGGTGCACATAACTGGTACGCAGGTACGCATGCGCGGCAACAATCTGAAATGCGTACCGTCACTTGTGTCACAAAGCGCATTTGCGTACCGACGTACTTGTGAAGCTTTTCCAGAAGGCGGTTAGATCACCGGACGACAGAGTCGGTCTCCGTGTGCACAGACAGGGCTGCTGTTAACGTCGGTCTGTACAGCAGCCCTGCGCTAAAACAGCTGATCACAACGTTCACACGCTCCACGGACACGAAGCTCTGTACTCCACTACCAAGTCTGCAGTGAGGACTTCCTGTTGCATTAGTCTCCACCTCGTTCCATATAGCTCCCTGATTTAGCCACAGAGGGGATTACACTGCTGCAGCGCTCTGTCTGTTTAGCAGGAGTTGGAGCCTGTTATATATATATCCCTCCCCCATCCCCCCCCCCCCCCCACACCCTCACCCCTGAGCCCTTGATCCCATGGGCTAATTCCATGAATCGTCCAAATCTAAATCCGCTGATGGAGCGACACACACACACTCTGAAAAACACACAGGCAGGGAAGATAGAAAACACCTCACATCCAAAACACAAACGTTTGTGTTACTGTTTGTATTTCCACGTGTATATTTTCTACTTGTTTTATTTCTATTTGAGATGTTTACATTTTGGATTGTTTATTTCTAGTCTTTTAATTTCTCTAATGTGCAACGCCTTGTCTTTTTATGCTGCTGCAATGCAAAAAAAATCAATAAAGTACTTCTTATCTTATCTTCTTATCAAATCAAATCAAATCAAACTTTATTTGTGTAGCCCAATATCACAAAATACATTTGTCTCAGTGGGCTTTACAGATTAAAAACAACCAACAACATTGTATATGATGGAGTTACAGCAAAATGAGAAGACGAGATGAAATCAAAAACAAAAAAAGACAATAAAAATACATAAAACCTTCAAATGAATTACCATAACAATTAAATAAAATGAATACCATAATATGCCAGCTCTAACTGAAGGCTTCGTTAAAAGATTTTTTTTTTTAAATATCTATAAATCATCTCATCTCCTTGTTCACTTTGGGAGCTGTTTAGCCTCCATCAACATCTGCGTGCCATTTCAATTCAATTCAATTCATTTCAAGGTGTTATTGTCATGTGTACATAGCGAGAGTGTAGATATGTCAATGAACATTTTAGGTCACAGGGTCCTCCAACAGTGCTCAGTGTAGCAGCTCATCAGAGGGTCTGTTTATCCCGGCTGACGTCACCCCCCCCCTTACTCTGTAATCGAAAGAGACGTTAATCCCAAACCTGGCAGAGGGTGAGATAGGGAGGGATATTGAGAGAGACATGAGGGAGGAAGTTGGGAGTGCATGTCGGGCTAAAGCAGACGGACTCGGCACGGACCTGGACGAGTGAAACAGGTGCTGTGTGTTGTGGAAATGTGTCTTAAGTGTCATTTAGTTATATATTTGTCTCTGTAGCTTGCTTTCTGTAATCTGGGTTGTTTTTGGATGTATTCCCACCTTTGTCTAACGTCCAATAGACTGGGATGTGAATTGCTTAGTTGCCTGTATGCCTCCCCTTCCTGCTTTTGATGTCGGTCAGATTGCTTGTTCTACATGTTAATGCAGGTTATCTCAATATAGACTTTTTGCATTACTTTTTATTTTATTTTGTATTTTTGTATGTTATTATATACGTTGCATTGTTGGAGGAGCTCAGGTCAGAAGAATTGCATTGCCATTTCTACACTGTAGTTTACGAGCATATGACAATAAAACCTTTGAATCTTGAATCGCTCTTCATTAAAAAAACACAACTTTGGTTTGACTTCTATCTTTGATCTTTTCTCTCCAGAAGGTGATTCGTTCGTGGAGATTTCCGCATCGCTGTGCTAACAAAAGGCAAAACGGAAACACATCCTTTTCGGGACACCTGAGGACTCAGGAACCCAGGCTTCGCCCTGGAGGCCAACAGCCTGTCTGAGGGCTCTGCAGAGGCTCCTGCACCCCCCACACTGTCCCCGGTGCTCATTGTGGAGGAACCGTCAGGATTCACCACCGTGGAGCTGTGCCAACATGGAGGGGAGGTCTGCCTGAGCACCAGCGAGGGGTAAGCTTTAAAGAGTCCTCTCCTGCTGATGTTCAGGTGTATATCAGTACGTAGTGCCTCTACTTTAAAGAGTCCTCTCCTGCTGATGTTCAGGTGTATATCAGTATGTAGTGTCTCTACTTTAAAGAGTCCTCTCCTGTTGATGTTCAGGTGTATATTAGTATGTAGTGTCTCTACTTGAAAGAGTCCTCTCCTGCTGATGTTCAGGTGTATATTAGTATGTAGTGTCTCTGCTTTAAAGAGTCCTCTCCTGCTGATGTTCAGGTGTATATCAGTATGTAGTGTCTCTACTTTAAAGAGTCCTCACCTGCTGATGTTCAGGTGTATATCAGTATGTAGTGTCTCTACTTTAAAGAGTCCTCTCCTGCTGATGTTCAGGTGTATATCAGTATGTAGTGTCTCTACTTTAAAGAGTCCTCTCCTGCTGATGTTCAGGTGTATATCAGTATGTATTGTCTCTACTTTAAAGAGTCCTCTCCTGCTGATGTTCAGGTGTATATCAGTATGTAGTGTCTCTACTTTAAAGAGTCCTCTCCTGCTGATGTTCAGGTGTATATCAGTATGTAGTGTCTCTACTTTAAAGAGTCCTCTCCTGCTGATGTTCAGGTGTATATCAGTATGTAGTGTCTCTACTTTAAAGAGTCCTCTTCTGCTGATGTTCAGGTGTATATCAGTATGTAGTGTCTCTACTTTAAAGAGTCCTCTCCTGCTGATGTTCAGGTGTATATCAGTATGTAGTGTCTCTACTTTAAAGAGTCCTCTCCTGCTGATGTTCAGGTGTATATCAGTATGTAGTGTCTCTACTTTAAAGAGTCCTCTCCTGCTGATGTTCAGGTGTATATCAGTCTGTAGTGTCTCTGCTTTAAAGAGTCCTCTCCTGCTGATGTTCAGGTGTATATCAGTCTGTAGTGTCTCTACTTTAAAGAGTCCTCTCCTGCTGATGTTCAGGAGTATATCAGTAAGTAGTTTGTGTATTGTGTGTGTGTGTGTGTGTGTGTGTGTGTGTGTGTGTGTGTGTGTGTGTGTGTGTGTGGGTGTGTGTGTGGGTGTGTGGACTACACCATAAGATCACTCTTGATGCTGATTATTGAGAAAGATATGTCCCCAGACCTTTGACCCAGTTTATCTTTCCACTCCCCTCGTTGAGCAAAGACCTTTGCGTGCAAGTAGTTTTGTCTCCTTATTCCTGCCTGTTGGCATAACTTAACATCCATAAACATTCATCTGTCCGCATTTTGCTAATTATCTAATATATCATTCCATTTGCTTAATAGACTCTTCTTGCACTATTTCTATTCCATTCTATTTTATTTGTATTCAGATCTCAAAACATTCTCTTGCACTATTTGATTGGTTGTATTTGTTCTATGTCCTGTATATATGTTGCACTGTTGACCTAAGTTATTCCTTGCCACTGTAGCTTATGTGCAAATGACAATAAAGCCTTGAAACTTGATACAGAATGTTTTGCTCGTGTTTAGGACATCTGGTAGTCCGTCTTCTGGGACATGTGTCTCCCCTTTAGCATTCTTAGCTAGAGACAGGAGTTTTAGTGCGTAGCTTGTTATCTGGTAATGCAGAATGTAGATTATTCTCTCAGAACTAGTTAAAGGTCCCCTATCATGCACAATCCACTTGGTATGTCTTTTATACATAAATATGCTCTGTGTTAAGAGACTCTGAAAGACCCCCTCTCTTTTTGTCCTGATCCATTTATATAAAAACCTGTCTGAAATGAATGAGCTGATCAGATTTTGGCAACTTTGTGATGTCATAATGGTTTTTTGGCTTGTGTAACCATTAGCCAATCAGCAACCAAGGTAACCCCCCCCCCCCCCCCCCTTATCACCTGAATCTCCTCCTAGAGCACCATGGTGTTCTTTGTAACCAAATCTCTCTCAGAGGGGCGTGGGGAGGGGCTCCTTATTTTCATCTAAAGTAACAGACAGAGAATCAGCACTTTGGAAACAGGGCTGAAACAGAGGGGATTATGGGTAATGCTGCAATGATCTGTTTGGTGTTTCAGCCAATCAGAGACAGGCTCTGTATATATCTGAGACCTGTGATATATTGATGAGAAAGAGCATATTAGGGCACCTTTAAATATTAAATACTTGTCACTGGGTTTTTCTGTATCTTGGTTACGTCATCCCATGACATGTAATCCGTTACTCCCCGAAACCTGTAGATGTCCATATTTCTTCTGAGCTCTTTAGGTTCTTCTCATGCTGGCTTAAATCTTTACTCGAGTTCATTGATTATCTTGTAAACACTTATTAGAGTTAACGGTTTCTTCACAAAGCTGTTGTGAAGTGTTCTTGAATTCTCGACGAACGTTTAAACTAATCCAAGTGGGAAACAGTTGTGATAAAAAGGGAACTCTTTGTGAATTCAGAATTTCTTAAGCATCATTTCAGTCATTGCATCAGAACAGTGAGTTACCAGAAGCCTTTATCATATATATTTACCAGGATGTGGTCAATTTCCGTCAGAGGAAGTGACTTTAAGAGTACAGTATACTGGCATGAGAAGGGCATAACAAAATTGTTTGTTTGTGGGAACATGACAAATAAAATGCTATCTAGTCTGCCACAGTTTCCTCTTCCTCATCACGCCAACACATTTCAGTGTGAACTCACTTTGACATGTGCAAAGATCACTTTTTTCCATCACTTTATTAAGCTCCACATCTACCCCTCAATATCATTTCAGTAGAAGTTCATTTGTTATAGTGTTTGCATGAACATATGAACCTGTGGCGTGCAGAGTCGGTGCATAAATAACCCCAGAGTGAGCTGCAGGTGTTTAAGGGGAGTGTTCACAAGGGGGATTACATGGAGGCTTTTTCATCATAATAGCTGCAGAAAGTTTCCGTCCCAGGTGGCACACAAACAGCTTAGCTTGACACAGTTGTCAGCAGCAGGAAAACATCAGAAATTGAATCGTAGGGCTGCACACAATAACAAGTGGGTCAGAAATGATAGAATCCTCCCAAAAGCTAATCCAGTTGAGCTGAGAACTTGGAGTCCTCGTTTAGACGTTCTGTTTCCTCGGTTTTAATATTGAACTTCAGCATGTTGATGGGACACACCATAGATGAGAGTAACACCTACGTCACTTCCGGGCGAAAATGACGGCCCCGCCCACTTTTGGGGGAAAACAACGCTGTCATTTGAATGGCGGTTAATACAAATTCAAATGTTTTTGCCAATCTGATCAGAGATTTTTGAAAACTGTGGATTTGTGGATCTTCAAAGAGCCCGGTTACGATGGCCAGTCAGGCAAACAATTACATTAAATCATTTGAAATCGACGATCGGGCTCAATATGGTTAAAGGGGACCTATCATGCAAAATGCACTTTTGTACGTCTTTTATACATGAATATGTGTCCCCGGTGTTCCAGGGAACTCACCAAGTGTCAGAAAACACAACCCTCTCTATTTTCCTCCATACCCAAATCTCTAAAAAAGGGGCTGCAACGGATCTGATAAAAACTGATCCAGATTTGAACACTGTCCTGACGTCAGGACGGTGGCGCTACGGCTATTGGGCCAACTCCACCAATCAGGAGGAGACAGCCACAGCCATTGCCGTTCGAAAGCGCTGGAGACGCTGTAGTACATATGCCAGGCCTCTAGATGGTGCTGTTCTCACTGAATCAGCCCTTGCTAAAACAGAGCTAAAAAATGTCAAATTGAGCAAAATGAGGCATGGCTAAAATGCATGATCTGTTTGGTATTTTGAAAAAAAAAAGTATAAATATGCCTTATATAGGTATGGTCCTACACTATATTATTATAATATAGCATGATAGGTCCACTTTAAGTTAAAATCAGTAGGCGAGGCCGTAATTTCGCCAACTGTTACTTAATCATGCCAACAAGCTGCTGTGTCATTTATTGCAACTCAAACATTAAAACAAATCCAGAGTTCAGTGTTTCTGTACTTCCTCTAAGAAGAAAGGACAGTAAAAGAAGAGCTCTGTGGCTTCAGGCTCGATCGCCATTCAAATAACAGCGTTGTTTTCCCCCAAAAGTGGGCGGGCCGTAGTTTTCGCCCGGAAGTGACGTAAATGTTACTCTCATCTATGGACATCGATCGCCTACTGCTATATTTAACCAAATATCAAGCCAGATCGTCGATTTCAAATGATTTCATGTAATTGTTTGCCTGTCTGGCCATCGTGATCGGCCTCTTTGAAGATCAGAAAATCCACGGTTTTCTAAAACTTCAGAATTTGTATTGACCGCCATTCAAATGACAGCTTTGTTTTCCCCCAAAAGTGGGCGGAGCAGTAATTTGTGTTACTCTCATGTATATCCATCTGTCACTTTAAGGGAAAATCTGCTAAATATATATTCAGACAGACTGAGAACCTTTAATTAAATGTATGTACTTGCATATAATCAAATGATAATGAACAACAAAAATGTTAAAATGCAGAAACTGATGCCGAATCTTTAGCTTTGTGAGACTGCACTTTGGCACAGAAGTGCTTGTGGGTAAATGTTAGCGACAGCTTGCTAATAAGCTCAAAATGATGATGCTAGCCTGTTAATGTTTAGCAGATATTCACCTCATTATCTTATTTTGTGTTGGTACAAGTGCTAATACATTGCATAGCATCTCCAGCTTTATTAACCTTTACTCGCCAAAGAAAGATATTCAATAATAATTCAAATGTAAATGATGAGAGCCACTCATTGGGCCATAGCTAGCTAGTTATCTAAAATCTGCTAGCAAGCTTGTAAGATAGGTCGCTAACATAAGCTAGCTAACTATTTGGATGAATAGTGAACATGAGCTACTGTAGTTGTTTGATAGATAAATTGCTAATGTAAGCTTTTTACTTAACAAACGATCTAGTTAATGTTTGCTATCTATCTATCTATCTATCTAGTTAGCAAGCTAGTTTGTTAACAGACAGGTTAGCCTAGTGGGTCTCTGGTTAACTCGTTTTTCTATATGTCAGCACTGTGCTCCTTTGTCTTCTGTCAG